AGGAGTGAGACCATCTATATGGGGCACGGGGCAGTAATTATATTTATTGATCAGACTTTTGTGTATCTTACCGAGTAAGGACAAAAAATTTCTTATGTTCCCAGGATTCGAATCTAATGTCCGGCAATTTAATAATAGATTAAAGGACGTGGTAGGATATTGTCCAACAATAGATTAGCTAGATATTAAATGTTAGATGGGTAAAACTATATATGGTAATAAGAAAATACCTCTTACCCTGTACCATACAATTTTGGATTCGTTCGTATATTAAGATCGAGTTGTATCAGCGACTTCCTACATGTAGAATCAACATTATTTGCCCACCTTCTCCTTATCTTTATAAAACATAGCTGTTACCTACGACGTCGGTTGCGTCCTGTTGTTCTAGCGAGTTAATCTTAAAAGATAGCCACATAGAGTCACGGTCATTTTTAAATAATTTAAACTGGAATAATTCTCTCATACGTATATTTTGGGTATCTCACAATCTCTCCTCATTTTCTGATGTTTCTTTGTTCTTTTTAGCCCCATCGTGATGTTTTAACCTAAAGCCTCGATAATTGCTCTAACCAATACAAAAAGATTTTTCAATTCGGCCCCGTAGTTCCTGAGATTAGCACGTTGAAACAAATTTTTATTTTACATAAACAACAAACAAACTCTTCAGCTTTATATATTAGTATAGATATATAATTTTACGATTTATTGCATTCATAGCTTTACCTGTACGTAATAATTCAGTATGATAAGGCAAAGCGTCCTATTATTTGGAATAGTAGAGTACGTATCATTAAATCTACGTAGTACTTTAATTTTATTTTCGACATTTGAGAAACTGACAGTGAAATCTAGTGCTCGGTAGCGTTGTACAGTACCTTTAATATGTCGCTTTAACCCAAATGTTTTATTATTGCCTGAGTACGCTAGATGTCACTCATAATTGTTATTGTTGCTACTCGCTAGATGTCGCTTTAAGCAACTATTCAAATTTACCATTTACTTAAGGCCCGTAAATAAATTACCTTCTAGATCGATTTAAATGTATTATTATAGATAACAATTGAAAAATGTTTAAAATAATATAAGCTATTGAGCTAGAATCTATTGTAACGAAGTAATAAGAACGAGGTGAATTTGTTTGACTACTGACAGTAACCTGTAAGAGTTTTCAATAAAACCAAATACTGTGTAGAGAAATTGAAGAGTACATCAAGTACAGAGTGAGACCTAGTAACTAAAGTCTTGTAACTTATCAATCCAGGTAAGAAAAGCTAACGAGAAATTCGTATGGCAAACATACCTGGCAGTACGTGTTACCGATGTACTTAAACGAGTAAGACAGTAATACGCACGACTTACCATGGTAAATACCAGGTCGGATGCAAGGGGATTTTAAGGAATTTTCATGGACTAGATATAAGAGTACTAAAAATGGTATGCATAAACCGCTAGACGGTTTTAATTCCGTTTTTGTTTATATATTATATATATTGTATTTTAATAAGGTAATAAAAATACCTAAATATCAAATCTTCATTGTGTTCAGGAATAAATAAAAAAGACGTTAAGAGAAATTATACGTATATTTCAATATAATTTTCACAACGTCATATACCACGGCACCAGCTACGTTCTTTAGTCTAAATCACAATTTTCACACACAAACATACAAAATGATTTTTACATAAATAATTAAACTACAACATAAGCGTTTATAAATGGCAATACATAATTCCAATACATTTGCGAATGTCACCAAGGTTACTTCGTTTCGTTTTCATTGTAATGTGCGACTGCCTATTGTTGACAGACAGTTTTCAAAAGCTCTAAACTTAGTTTTATTTAGCTTAACGTTAAGCTACTTTTTCATACATGTTAATACATGTATGAAAAAGTAAAACAAAAAAACTACAGCTTAATAGCTGTAGTTTTTTTGTTTGAGTTTAACATTACGATTAATAAAAAATTACCAAAAATTTAATTTACTTAAAATATTTCGAAATAATTAATAATACAGACACGCTTCGATTCTACAACTACCCACCGAGACTTTCGAAAATTCTTACTCTTACTAGCATTTCAAAAGATCTTTGCTTCATTGAGGCGAAAAGTAAAAATGACTCAAAACAATATTTGATTATTTGGCATTAATTTTGTCACAGACTCGTACAGTGGCGTCAATTTTACAAAAAAATTGATAATATCTGAAATAGATATCAAATGAAATATTCCGCTTGATACATTTTAGCTTCAATACATTAACGTAAAATAATATATTTTTGACTGCGACCCGACATTTCGGAATCTTTACAGCAGAGTGACATGAAACGTCGGGTCGTAGTTAAAAATAAGTTATTTAACATATTAACAAAACAGACAACTGTACTTCTAAACGACAGATAAATGTAATTTTTGTCCGGCTAAAAGGCTTTTGTATATTAAAACACGATATAAGAATATATTATTAAATGAACATTACAAGCAGGTAATGTTATTAATACAAAACTTACAACGAGTTACTACAGGAGCGAAGTATTTTATTAAATCACTCGCGCAATGTAATTTCATTCATTACTAATTATTATGTTTTACAGCTTAAAAACTTTAAGAAGTTTTCGTTTTTCCATCTTAACAGATTTTATAGATAGAAAGAAAGATCATATGAATTAAATAATGAAAAGATAACTAAGTATTTTAGTAAATATTTAGAAATGCTATCTAATCGATTTTTCGTACTCAATTTCGATCACTAAGAGTTTTATATTAATAACATACCGTCCCATATTCACATTCTAGACAAAAATAGTTGGTGTTACCATATCAATTGTATAACCTACTTAAATTACAGGAAAATCACTAACAGCTTTAACATTTTAGGCATATTGAAAAAAACGCGTTACAAAAATAATATGTTTCGCGAAAGAAATACAAGGAGACAGTGTCAATGATTTTCCGCTTAGCTTGAAAGGCCGATTCCGATATAGTGGCTTATCTTAGAAATCTAGGGGGAGGAAAAGCGACGATAGCGAAATCGGCCCTTAGTAATAGGCACCTAAGAAATTAACGACTAGGCTTCCGCAATATGTTACTCGTTGCTGTCGCTCTCACCCAGCAAGGCGAGGTGTCGCCGAAAAATGACTCTTAAAGACTAAACTAAATGAAAAGCTTGTTCAAATTTGAGATCTTTACAATAAATAAAAATTGCCTCTTTCGAATTCATAATAGGATTAAAGACTAAATGTATATAGATCATTCTTATAATAGTTCTTCGAGTAATTTTTAAATACATTGGGAACAACGCTAGCACTTTAGAGGACATACATTCATTTGTAAACTCATGCGCATAATTTTAAAATTATAATATTTAGGATTGAGATGATTTTTTTTTATATTTTAAATAAGTAATATCCATTTCAGCTAGTCAATTGTATGAAATAAAACATTTTCAACGGCTTATAACGCGAAATATAATTATTACATTTTAGCTACTAGTATACTAAAAATCTATTAAGTAATATATATGACGTATAGTATATATCACGTTTTAAACAGTTACAAATTGTTTTATTTAATATGTGCTAATGTCTGTAGTAAGTTTAATTGATTCTGTGGATGACTTGTACAAGAGATTTTATATGGTGACGCGAACTTTTACAAATGAATATATTTCGATTTTATTAGTATTCTAGTTTAATATATATATCTCTTTACACAATGCTACTACGATGGGAATATAAATATATCCATCTGTTATATATAATCTGTTTGATATACAAAGGGTTTAGTATGAGTTTGTTAGTTTATTGGGAAAACAAAAAAAAAGATCTTTAATATTTGCCCAAATAAGCCTCTCATAATTATTAGCCCACTCTGTTTTTAAAGGAAGAGAGAAGAATGAAGAATGAAGATGGAAGAAGAAGGAATGAAGCAGAAAGAATGAAAAAGGAAAGTGCTTACTTTTAAATGTCAAGTAGTACAGACGTTAAAAATTAAACTTTCAAACTCATACTAAAAAAGTTATACACGTTTAGTTCCGCTAATTTATATTTCTTTCTACGTTTAATATTTATATGTTATCATTATCAAGTTGATCGCGTCTTGATCAAGAATGTGCATCTACCTTCATCCACGATTTTTCATCAAGTATTTTTGTAATTAACAACTTTATAAATAATTAGGTATGAAAAAAATCTATTTTAAATCAAAAAATTTGATGGCAAAGAAAGAAGGAAAGGGACTGAAAACCATGACCTTAATATTCTGAGCTGCTGCTCCAATTTAAGTTATCTTCCAATTTGTTTAATATTTTTAATCTAAGATAGATTTTTGTTTTATTTATTTTTTAAGCAAAGATTAATTTTTCAAACCTCAGTAATTTACTAATTAACCATAACACACTTGGAATATTTTTTTGATAAATGCATTCTCGTCTTAGACCGTAAAGCAGGACTCTAATCTAGCTGCCTCTTTCTTACATCAGCGGGAAGATAGAAGTAGCATATGTATTTCAAACTTTTTATCAACTGGAATGGTCTAAATTTTATAATTTATGGTCAGCTTGCGATAATATTTATATTTCTATATCAAAGTTATTTTCTCGAATCAACGGTTTTAAAGCTTCAATAGATCGTCAATTTATTTTGAACTTTCGAATGAGACACTACATTACAGATTAATACATTGATTTTAAGTGCCTACAGGTATGATCTTAAACTTTGTTCATATCTATATTTTGTGAGAAACAAAGATATTCTATATTATCAACCCTTTCTTCTTTTACTAATTGTGTAAGCAAAATTTTACGCATATGGATACGCAATAGTTGCGGGTACGTGTACATAGTATTTACAAATAAACTCAATGTACACGCATAATATTGTGACAAATATTCGCATGTTTCGTATGAGCCACCTGTTTTCTGAAAGCATTAATTAACAACTTGTTCAGACCAAAAGCGTTTGATCTTTGCAAACGGAGTTAGATCCAATATTAACGTCCTAGAGGGGCGTCTCCTTTCTCCACTGGAATGCGTTGGTTTTGACCGCTGGATTCGAAGAACTGGCACTTGCCGCTAGCGCGACTCCTGTCCGCCGTATGTTGGCTGCAGCGTTATCTGAAGACAATCAAATAATTTATTCATATATATAACTGCGTAAACTTATCCTGGAAATAGTAGAACAAACGAGAAGATCTGGCAAGAATCTCCCTGACTTCTCGATTAAGAGAGTGCTCTTAATCGAGAAGTCGTCGTAAGTACTTCTGATATAGTGACAGCAAACGATAAAAGTTAGTTTAATTTTTTGTAAATGTCTTAAGTTGGATAAAAAATTTCTTTAGCAACATTTTTTAGACGTGAATGTTTGTTCCGCGTAAACATAGAAATCCTAAAAATTAACTCACCCAAGCCGTTTCTCATGTTGGCAACGAGGCGCATCGCCGGATTAGTAACGATTCCGTTTCTTTTGTTTTTACTGGAAGTACAAAGACTAATTAATTTATATTCTAACAGCCAACCAATATAGATAAATTATATGTTATAGGGAAGATTGCTATTAGAGCGTTTATTATATATCTAAAGCAAGCGTTAGTCAGCCAGAACCTTAAGTTAGTTTGCCCACACCAAGCGTCGCACTTGCGACTTGCGTTCAACAACGTTGTGATGAAAATATGATGGTATGAATCAGAAAAAACATTAGAAAGTAAAACCAGATACAAATCTGTGCCCGTTGTCGAAAAAGTGCAAAGCGCAATCTGTTAAATGTGTACCTAAATACAAGAACGTTTGATAGAAGTGTATGGTTTCGTACTGTATACAAATACCTAAAATTTTTAAAAACTTAGCACACTTCACCATTAAAATAATAATTTCAAAGAATTATCTTCTAGGATTTTGCCATTTAAAATATACTTGCTTTTGCCCGCGCGGTAACAGGGTTTAGAACAGAAAAAATATGTGCAGGTGGTGGATTATTTGGGGGCGAATTTAAAAAAAAAGATAGTTTTTTTTGTCAAATATATTTTCAGCTTTCTGTCTCGCAAATTGCAGAATGCTGTAAACAAATTCCAACCCTTTTTGAGAAATGGGAGCTAAAAAAGAGACAAAAAGTAGCTCATGTTCTTGTCATTCTCCGTTCTTTTAAGTTTCCCAAATTTTAATTATTTCCAACTAAAATATCAATGTATCGCACCGTGAAAGACGGAAAAACAAACAGACACTTTCACATTTATAATATTAGAGTGGATTAAAAGAAAGCAAAGGAATTACGAATTCTGTCATTCTGTCAAAATAAGTTATATGTGAGCTAAGAAATTCTTGTATGTGATTGTGTTATGTAGTATGTCGCATGTGAAGAAGAGAGAAGAGAGAAAAACTCCTATGCACCAGCCAATCGTAAAGTCTCAACCCGTATAAAGGTGTCTAGCTATCCTTGTCACTCACGTTTTCTTTATTATCTTCCCTCTCGCTCTGCCGAGCCCGCCTACCAACTTGTTGTACGCAAGCCTCGACGCCAAATAACACGCAATTTAGTGATTAACATAATACATACAGAAATAAATGATAACAAAAATTAATTAAGCATAATTTTTACAACATAATTACGTAAATCCTCATTTATGTGTTAATAACTTGTGGAATTAAGTAAGTATGTACAACAGGCAGACGGTCATTGATGTACATGTAGCGTCAGAAAAAAATATCTATTTTTTTAACTTTAATACTTTACGCATTATATAAAATAAAAAACTATTTAGATTGTAAAAAAAATACGACACGAGCAGGACTTTTACACTTTTTTTTCTTTTTATTATATATTAGTATATTCGTTTTTTTAATAATAACTATAAATACTAAATTTTGGTAGCAGAACTTGATCTATACAAATACAAATACAAATATTCTTTATTGTCACAAAACAAAACATCAACAAAAAAAATATACAAAAATTTATGGAAATTAAGGACAAACGGCGACTTTATAGCTAAATAGCTATCTCTTCCAAGCAACCGTGATGGAAATGGAAATTCAGTGATAAAAAAGGATTGCGTGACAGCAGAAAAAAAAAAAAAGACTTAACCTACATACTAAAACTAATATGAACAATAATACAAAATGAGCTTAACCTAAAAATCAATTATTACTATCTTAACTAAGTTACTTAATTAGGCATAATAGTGGGACTTGACAAGATTCTTGAAGGAGGGAGATTCTGGGCTTTTCTTTATTCGGTAAATTGTTCCAAAGTTTTATAGCTCTTACATGGGATGAATTATGAATCTGTAGTGAGAAGGAAAACGTAAAGTCAGGCTTTCGTCTGACCGGAGATTAAGGCCTTTATCGGAGAGGAACTCAAATTTTTCTTTCAGGTAAGTTGGAGTCTTAGGATCGAAGAGTATTTGGAAAAGAAGAGAAAGAACAGTAGATTCCTGGTAAACGAATAGGGAGCCAGTTGAGGGCGGAGCGAAATTTAGAAACATGGTCAAATTTACGAAGGCCAAACACAAATCTAATTGCCATTTTTGTAGTCTCCAATTTATAAGTTGAATATCGAGAGGTTGGAAAAACACACGTCAGCATAATCAAGAGAAGGGAGGAGAAGGGATTGGGCGAGGGCAATTCTAGTGGGAATGGGTAAGAAGTTACGAATACGTCGCAAACTGGAGGCCGTAGCAAACATTTTCCGGCTTATTTCCTTTAATTGTGGATACCAGGATAAGGTGACATCTACATGCAACCCAAGATCTTTGACGGATTTACTGTAAGGAACAGAAAATCCATCGACAACAATGGGAGGCAGTGTTGTCCAGTTGATCCGATTGACAAGGCTGGGGCTACCAATTATAATTGACTGTGTTTTTATCGGATTTAATTGAATGCCAAAAGATTTACTCCAAGAAGAAATTTTTTGCAGGTTATAGTTTAGAGAGCTAATAGCAATATTGAGATCCTCGGGGGCAGTATGGGAATAAATTTGCAAATCGTCTGCATATAAGTGGAAGTGACAAGAAAGGGCGGTAGTTATACGTTGAATGAATACAGTGAAAAGGAGCGGAGATAATACACTGCCCTGTGGCACGCCTACATCAGTTTTACACCAGGGAGATAGATTATCGTCAATCTTGATCCGTTGTTGTCGCCCGTGTAAGTAGTTCCGGAACCAAGAAAGAGTTTTAGAAGAAATGTTAACAGTATTTAAAAAGCGCAAGAAGAAGATCGATCGACAGAATTAAAGGCGTTGGAAAAGTCTAGGAGCGTCAGAACTGTCAACTGTTTAGTTCCATTGCCCAACGAAGTCATCAGTAATTTTTAAAAGAGCTGTAGCGGTACTGTGACCCGGACGGAAGCCAGACTGATGAGGATTAAGCAGTGAGAAACTATTTAAGAAGTGGTCAATGATATGTATAAGACGTTCGAGGATTTTAGATAAAAAGGGTAATATAGATTAGGCCGAAAGTCCGCATAGTAGAAGGATTGATGTTAGGAAAGGAAGAACGAAAGAATTTTTCCAAATCTTAGGAAACACAGAATTAGAGATAGAGAAATTAAGGATAAAGGTATATACGGTAGAATAAATCAAGTATTGTAGAATATTTTACGACTTTCCCATCATCACCAACAGCGTCCGACTTAATAGCAAGTACATCTTGCGAATATCGTCTTCAGAAAGAGAAAAATCAAAGATAGGACCGTTGGAAGATGGAAGAGACAGATTCATTAATGTTAAAGTCTTTAAATAATTATTAAAAGTAGCATGGAAGTTGCAAAGAATGAGTTTAAAGAGGAAATACAAAGATTGGGAGGAAGTGTTATTTTTTGCTTTTCCGACACCAAGGATTTTAAAAAGCGCCACACTTTTGGCTCAATTTCAACATTCTGAGCTCTCGACATTATGACATTTTAATTTTATATTCTTAATTTTGGTTGATTAATTGCATTTTAATTTAATCTAGTTAGTATGTTAAAGATACAAAAAAAATTATACTGTAAAAGTCTTCAAAATATTCCAATTCCTTTTTTTTATACACATGACAGGCAGCATGACACTGTCGGCCATTTATTCTTTTTCCGACTACACGCGTTATATTAGAAGTATTCAGACACAAAAGCTTGTGGATGATGCCTTCTAGAAACTTAAATTATTAAGTGTCCTTTACATAATCTCATATAAATGTTAGCAGATAATAAGACTAAAGACAAGTTTAATACAAGTGTGAAAGAGACAAAACTCACCTCTCGCTCCTTTCGTGTTGTTTGCTCTCTCGCCCAAGTATAATGCGCATGTGCGTGTCTCTGTTGAAATGGGTATCCGTGACCAAGGGCTGAGAAGTGAGACTGGGTGGTTGGGACCCTGAAATTTTTTTTTGGAAACTTTACTAATATACCTAACCATTACATTTACTTTGAGCTTCTTCCAGTTCGCTTGGAACTCATAAAAATACGTTTTACTTAAAGATTTTATTAATAAATATACGAAATACTGAATTTATTGAGAAAAATGTTCTAAGGGCGTACCGTCATCTCTATCTGGCCGTGGGGGCGATCGCTGGGGCGAGTGGGGCGGTGACGCGTACAAAGGGGACGTGTCCCCATGTCGTTCCTCACGGCGACGTGAGCGCGTCACTCCGGCGCCGCGTAGCGTTACGTCACGCTCGTTCGCTTGGTAGCTCCTGGATAGTCATTGAGAAATAAAACCATACATATCGGACTAAATTTAAGTACCTCGCTTCTAAATTTAAGTGTACTTCTTGTTAGAGCGGGTTCCTCAGACAGCAAGTTAGCCATGGCATTTTGTTTGTCCCCCATCCACAGTTAGGAGACCCCAAAAGTAGATAATACGCGTATTTACAAGGTGTTACAGGGCTTGCATCGGTAAGTTTCTAAACTATAAAAAATTACCTGAGTTTAGTATCGTTTTCGAGTACATGATTTTCTGGGATGGGCTCGTCCTTATCCAAATCTCGTCTGCCCCACCCACAGCGAGCCACCTGCTGCGCGAACGTCAGCGACGAGTTCGTTCTACTCTGTAATCGTTATAACACAGGTACTGAGAATGGAAGTATTTGACAATAAATACTTTTTTTAAAATACTAAACCTATTTGATTTTTGAACATCATACATATAACGACGAGAACCTTCAAAACTGAGCAATTCGAGTACCTTTTCCACCGGATCATCTTGTTCGTGAGATCTATTGGAGCCTCCGGTGAGATTTGACGATGACTTAGTAGAGTTTGAACTGTGGACGCTGCGTCGTTTGTAGTCGGGAGAACCTGAAAGTATTAAGGATTATTTGTCTTTGTTCGTACAAATATAATGAAGGTACAGTAAATATAGTGGTTATACACAAAATTTATATGACTAAACTTAAGTAACGTTAATTAATCTACTACTACTAATATTCGGAGTACTTTTAGTTGTTTAAGAGTTTACAGTTTTAAAACTAAGGCTAGACAAGATTTGTGACCCGGACAGAATTCTCATATTCGTAATAGTCAAGTCAATGTTCAGATTTCCAGTTGACATCAAACATACTAAAGAAAAAAAAAATTTTAGAAACATGTTAGACCCGGTGTGAATGGAACCCAGGGCCAATATTACGACGTGAGCGATACTATATTAGCCCAATGACGTGTTGGATAAAACAAAAGCATGAAACAGACCCTCAAATTTCTCACCAGTTCTGAGTGGCGCCAAGAGATCCTCGTCTTGTACCTGAGGGGCGGGGGCAGAGGGCGCTGACGGTGCAGTCCACCTTTCGAGCAACCGGCAGATGTTGGCGTGACCGGCTCGCCAGGCCACTTTGGCTGGAGTTCGACCTTTTAACATAATTATTATAACAGTAATCCGCAAGCTTTAAGTTGGTCTTTAAATCCAAACTACATATAAATTTAAATACATATTATATATTAATTATAATACATACTACCAGGACTTTATTTCCTTATAGCTGATGAAATCTTACTTACCGCAGTGGTCGGCCTGCAGCGGATCCGCGCCGTGCTGTAATAGCCACAGCACACATTCCTCGTGACCCTCCTGCGCAGCAATCCCTAGTAAACACAAGAAGAATTAAAAACAATTATATCAGTGTAACAAAGTTGTTTGTCTTTCTCTAAAATTAAAAGTCCGATAATTTATTTCACTTAAAAGTAACAAAGTTTAACAATTAAAAACAAGAAATAAATATGTTTATTAGCTCTATCTTAATAACACGTAAATACTTTGCTGTACATCAATCAGCTGTTGCTGCAACAACCGAGTTGCTACAAAGGCGAGTTCGTACTTATATAACAATATATTATTATTTGTTGATATTTTAAAAATACTCTTAAAACACGAAACCCAAGATAAGAGTCCTATTAAAATAGAATGAATAATATACCTAGGGGCGTGGCACCCTGCGTGCAAACAGCGGCGGGCGAAGCGCCATGTTTTAACAGCGCTTTCAAAGCAGCGGTGCGCCCGCGCCACGCTGCTGCATGCAACGCTGTTCTGGCGCAGCGATCTCTGCCGTCGACTTCTGCGCCGCCTAAACAATGCAATAACTGCTTAATGACAGAAAATTAGTTATTTCTATACCTTAAAAGTACAAATACAAGTAGTGTAGGAATATCTTTACCCACTATATCTGAAATATCTTTTTCTAATTTCAAAATCAACGCAAAGAAAATATATAATAGTACACTCACCAACTTTGATGAGGAGATTGACCATCTCCGTGTGTCCTTGCCAAGCGGAGACGTGTAAAGGTGTGCGACCCTGAAAAGTGACGTACGATGTTACTTAAACGATGTTTTATAAGATATACGTGTGGTAGACACATCCCTACGTTTATTAAAATTTATTTAACAGACAATTTATTAATTGGAACTTCGTGACTGGTATTCGAACCCAAAATTAAACCCTCAGTCATAATGAAGCCACTGTAATGTTAATAAAACACTTAACGCAATAAAACGTGGAAAATGTATTAGTTATAACTTATTTATTATTATTATGACGTTTCTAATGCTTTACCGTAGCCGTGGTCGGGGGCGATAACAATTTGAACTAATATTTCACGTTTAAAACCGTTATTTGTTATATAATAGTATAAACTACAGACTATACTAATACGATATGTACAAATAGAAAATAATTCGAAAATACCTCCGTATCACAGCAATGCACACTGGCGCCAGCAGCTAGCAACTGTCTCGCCATAGCTAGTCTGTTGTCTAACGCGAGCACGTACAAAGTACTCCTTCGATCCGCGTCCACTGCATCGACGTCCGCTCCCCGCGAGAGCAGACACGACACTGTCTCGAATTGACCCTCCAGCGCTGCCAATCTGAAGATAAGATCAATAAAATCAACGTAAATAACCAGTACATACAATTTGGCAAAATTAAAAAAAAAACGTCTTCTTTGTCAAAGTCCACTAAAGACATCAATAAGTTAAGTTATTAATAACCTAAGACAAATTGAAAAGTACAAATTTTTACTCAAACTAAGTATTTCGATATTATAAATGTGCATGTTTTTTATATAAAAAATTTTAGTAATTCTTAATATTATTAAATATATATATTATTATTTATATAGAATATAGTGGTAAGAGCCTATTATAGAATATAGTGGTAAGTACCTCGTAAGCCTATCTTTAAATTCCATATCGTAATTATTTGATAACTAAATTGCCTACCCTCATAGTAGATGAATACACGAAAATAAATTTAAAAAAATCGACTCGGGCAGGACAATTTTCAATTTATTTTCGATTTTTAATCTTTATAGTGCCACCATGTGCAATAACATGTAAAAAATATTAAAGTACCCTCATTTCTTCATTTAAAACTCGCAACGCACTGAACTGTTAGTATATTTTGTATTAAGTATATTCTTATAATTGATTGTATGTATCTTCGATAGTAAACCGAACCCCAAGGCATACCTTAGCGCAGTCTTGCCGTCATGCGCCCTCTGGTCTACCGGTGCTCCGCCCTTATCTATTAGCAACTTGACTAGATCCACGTGGCCCTCCTGCGCAGCCAGCAGGAGAGGCCCTTTCCCTTCATTGTCAGCTTCGTCCACCTTCGCACCAGCTTCCAGTAAAGCTTCACAGACTTCTATGTGACCTGAACAACATGTTATTACAAAATTTATAATCACCATCAATGCAGGATATAAGCAAATTTAAATAAAATACTTTGTATAATGTACTCTACTCTGCACAGCAATTATTTTTTTTATGGGACCGATAGAAGGCCAGGTGTACAATCCACACTATCAGCTGACTATTTCACCCACTTCCTACCCTTACAGGCAACTTAATAAATTTATGAATATGCCTACCTTCAAAAGCGGCATAATGCAGCGGTGTCCATCCAGAGTTATCCCTGTGATGTTCGTCTAAGCCTCTGTCGAGTAACTGACGGACCACTTCCACGTTTCCTGTTTAAATACAAATTTGCATAAAAAAAACAAATCAAACCATATACTAGGAAAACTTATGAAGGCTTTAAATTTAATTTCAAACGATTTAACGTTTAAAATCTGTTCCGAGAGCAGGAGGCGAACACACATCAATGTCTGTTTTAATGATTGGTTATATTTACAGGTTGATCAGACCTCTATGCCTTGCGTGACCGAGAGAATTTATTGTTTCCTCGGAATTCAAACCCAGGACGTCTTACGCTTATAGCAATACTAGGCAACACGTCTAACTATTTAGCTACAGACGTATAACATCAATCGAATTTTGACACTTTTGATTCGTTCACACCAGACAGTATATGTTTAATAATAGCGAAGTATTGTGGTACTGATAATAGATGGCGTTGACTACAATTTTTTTCTAATTGAAAATTTTTTACAATAATGATCAACCTACCCTGCGCGGCCGCAGTACTGAGTACCGTCCTTCCCTCGTTATCCATATTATCAACACAGGCCCCCCCAAAACAGAAGAAGACGGACGGTATCCGCGTGTCCAGCGGACGCGGCAGCCCACAGCGCCGTTCGTCCCGCGCAGTCCGTCGCTTCTATATCCGCTTCCGCTTCGAGAAGTACTTCGCAGATTTCACTGTAATCATATATATGTGGATTATATCACAATATTAGAAAGGTTTTTGGCTTTTGACACTTTAAAATATCTTCTGTTCTGTTTTTAATTCGAGAGAAACAGACAAGCGTTGGGTGCACTTGATTGATGGTGAAAAACCTCGTAGCATCTGACAAGATCGGCTATCGACATATATTTACTTTCATAAATCATAAAACTGAAACCGAAACGCGATTAAACTTTGCAGCTTTTTATCTGTGGGCGGTAGAGACCCGATTTCGATATTTTTACCATCCTCATCATCATATAATCTAGATTTTCTAGACGCAGTCTATCGTGTTTCAGGAAAGTCATACATTAAAAATATATTATAAGTTGAAAGAATTATGACACGGGCAGGACTTGAAACGGAATCCACAGCGTTCCGTGCTGTTGCTCTAACCGTCCCCTACACGTCATTGTCTAATTTTTTCAACGAGCACGTGAAATTTTGATCATAGATAAATACAACTACTTTTTGCATACAATTACTTAATTCCTAATAAAGTGAGTTTGAGAACAGTGTAAACAAACATCACTTACGTATGGCCCTCAAAAGCTGCGACCAAGAGCGGGGTGGCCTTATCCCTATCTGGCGTGCTGACATCTGCGCCTCGCTCGATGAGCAGCGCCGCACACGCAGCTCCCGTACCGCACAGTGCTGCTACCGCTAGTGATGTTCTACCTGTAAAAGATTCTAACGATTAGTAGATTAGATTTGCAAAAACTAATTTTGATACACAAAATAACTATTCTATGCGGACAAAGTCGCTGACACAGCTAGTTATTAATATAATTTTTTTTCTAATGTAATTTTCAAGAATTAACAGAACTGTGACGTAAGAGAAAGTAAATAGAAGGTTTATGTGGTTATTAATGCTTTTAAGTACTGACCATCTTCATCCGGTTTGTTGGGATCAGCTCCAGCGTCTAGTAACATCCTGACGATGTCCGCGTGTCCCATATACGCTGCAGCCATCAGCGCCGTCCGTCCGGACGCATCCGCCCTGTCCGGAGCAGCTCCGCCCACCAGCAGTCTGGCCACTACAGCTTCGTGGCCGGACCATGCTGCGGCACTGATGTAAATAAAACAAATAAATTTATTTGAATCTAAAATTCTGTTTGTAGTTTACGCGAGTAGTACACATTTAAATGAAACACTTTAAAGTTTAGCCGTGGTTACGGGGCTGCTGCAAACAACCGAAACGTCGGGTCATCGTTAAAATAATTTCCAAATAAGTTTAACTAATATATATCGCGTTTTAAACCTTTAAAGTGTCTTAATTAGTCTTTGACCGCCTGTGTTGATTACTTTTGCACTGTGAAAAGTTAGAATTACTTAAAAAGCAGAGGTAGGTCATGCAGTTTGAACCTACAATATATATTCTTTGTTAAACTTACCGCAAAGCTGTTCTGTTGTCGGCGTCGACACAGTCTACGTCACAACCATGTTCCAACAATATGTCCACCACCTGTTATAAATTAATTTCTTTAACGTCGTTGACAAAAACGTCCGTTAACTCTGACACAATTTAAAAATAAGGATACATACGTGACAAGTATTTTTTACACTAGGTATAATAGTTTTTCATGTTATTGCACATCATGACATTATATACATTAAGAATCTATTAAGATTGAAAAAAAAAAACGCAATCACAAGCGTTCCTTGCTGCTGTTGCTGCCCTACCGCTGTGGATGCCGGCTCAAGTCAGTAGATTACTAAATAATATATACTGTATCCTGTCCACATTAAAAATAACAAATTAAATTTGAAAGGCTAATAGAGAACCAACAAAAACCTTACCTCACTGTGTCCCGCCCAAGCCGCTGCCCTTAAAACACTCCAACCCTCAGAATCTGCAGCCGAGGGCGAAGCGCCCGCCTGCAGCAAGAGCGCCGCACACGACGCCCTACCGTTTCTCGCTGCAGCGTGAAGCGCTGTACTGCCGCATCCATCACGAGATTCAGCCAATTGTGGACATCGCTATAGTAACGAAATCAATTATATATAAAGATCTTTAAGTGAAAACCAGTGTCTATCAACGTAAATAAAAAAATAATTAAAATTTTCAGTAACTGTCCTTGATCCGTTTTTAATGGATTTTTTTTTTACAAAATCGAACCCGTAACTTTTGAATCGGCTTTCACTTTGAACCAATGCATACAAATCGTTCTATAATATTGGATATAAGCGACCATTAAATAGATAATATGTTTAAACAAATTATATAACATAAAATATAAAATCAACATTTAAATAAAACACTTTTAACGGGTTAAGACGCGTTATATATTATTTAAATTATTTATCCATTAATAACTTCGGAATTACGTTTCGGATGCTTTGCAGCAAGTTACTAATATATTTTGTATATTAAAGTTTTTTAATAAAATGTCTATCACTCCCGTAAACTATAAAAATAGTGTAAGGTGAATTAAAATGATGAAAACTCTATTATTTACAAAAAAAAAACAGACGCCAAGGTATGTAAAAAATATTAATAAAGCGATACATAAAACAAATACGAATATTACAAACATGTACGTATGGGTAGTAAGATTTTTACTTAGATTTACTTACTAGAATCAATTTGTTTCTTACTATAGTATCAAATGTTATCATACTATTATACAGTAATAATAATGTCGGTCATTTATAAAAAAATCAATAACTTTCACTTTCACACGCGACGCGTATTCGTACTCAAATTTTTGGAAACTACAGTAACTGGTTCCGTGGTGTAGTGGTTATCACATCTGCTTTACACGCAGAAGGCCGCCAGTTCGATCCTGGCCGGAATCATATCTTTTTAAATTTTATTTTACGCATCAACATCACAACGTTAGTAAATTCAATATTTGATAAATACATTTTCTACAATTATTATTATTATTTTTAACTTTTTGAATAGCTTCACACTGATTAAAACAATGTATTTAAATAAAACACTTTTATCGGTTTAAAACGCGAAATGTACTTTTTGACTACGGCCGACGTAAGACGACTCCTCAGTGACCTTAAAAGTGTTTTATTTAAATGTGTACTTAAAAATGAAAACACTTTAAAGGTTTAAAACGTAAAATATATTGTTTAACTTGTTTGTTTTAACTACAGCCCGACATTTCGGATGCTTTACAACAGCCTGTTTTAAGTTTAAGCCGTTAAAGTGGTTTATTTAGCGACACAGTACGTACAGTACAGTAGACAGTACGGTTTTCATACCTTCAAAAGTGCTGCTAAGCTCTCATCATCGCCCCTGGTCGCAAGCTCGTGAACCGTGCTGGGGTCCAAGAGTAGGGTCTCGTCTTGTTCGTCTCCTGTTCCATCGTTTATGTCTTCGCTTTCCACTTGTTCCGTTGACATCTGTAGAGCAGAAATCTCATTAATTCAATCGAATACAATACAATTTATAGAGCATAAAAAATATAATCTCTTAATTTACATACTTATAAAATATATAATCGGTTCAGATTTGCAGCAAACGTGACCATCCTCATAACCACGGCAGCTGCTACAAAGCTTACGGAACGTAGTTTCAGGCCGAATTTAAATTAAAAACAAATAAACGAGTATAATTCGTGTTTTGAACCGTTGTAAGTGTAAAAATCTTACTTAAACATTCTAGATCATTTTTTGTTGATTTTGGGTTTGACGAACATCTGAATAAAACATGGACAACTCTCACCACGTAATGACAGGAATCCAAGGAAAACGATTTCAATTTTTTATGTTAAATATTGTCTGTAGTTTACGCGACTAGTATATCATTTAAATAAAATACTTCCACGGTTTAAAACTTAAACAAGGCTAACTAAAATATTACGCATTTTAAAGTGTTTTATTTCAATTTTTTATGTTTGCGATAACCTACCATGTCGTTAAACTCGTCTGCCTCGGGTTCGGTAGGGACAGAGTCAGCCCGGCTCAGCTCTAGCAGGGCACGCAGGACCCGTCTGTCTCTCGGCCACTGCGCCGTCAGCTCGCCGTTCACCAGCTCCGGCATAATGCTCTCCAGAGTCGACGGTTCAACTGTAAAGAAACAAGGGTCATTAAGGTCAACTCCAAGTAAACTTTTTAAAAAAAATGTTCGTCGCCCTCGCGACTAGATGTGATCATGGAAGTCTTTGCTTTGAATTCTTGTTTGTTATGATAGAGGATGCTGTACTGTTAATCATGGTGCTCAATGGATGGCAGGTGAAATACCCCAACCATACCATTTTGGTATTCGCATATCCACGGACGGAAACGTGATTAACCTTCAAGGCATTTTCATATGTGGATGGTAGTTTGTGACTCGAATGGAAATTCGATATTGCTACAACTAAAGTCCAAGATGTTTCAAAAAAATATATTATTGATTACAAAAATGTTGGACCCAGTGGGGATAGAACCGACGGCCCGTTGATTATTGGACTACTACATTATGCCAACGAGCTTGTCCAAAATAATTCCAGGGAAATCATTCGGTTATTTCAGCCGAGCCGGGCATAGAATTCTGATCATCAAATGGCTTAAAAATATTTTTGACCAACGTAACGGATACAGAAATGTGTTCGTCCATGCTCTTATTTTTTAGATCAATTTCTCATTTTTTGTCAACCTCTAACGGTGTTTGTCTAATTTCGTAAAAAAACTTTTTTTTTGTTTTTAGTTGACTTGTACAAGTAAGCAGTTTCAAAATAAAAATATAGATATATTTTTTAATTTAAGCTTTTTTAATAATAATACATTTAAAAAAATATACAGTTCAAAAAATCTAACTAAATTAACTAAAAGCTAAGACCTATCATAATACAAACCACGAATTTATTCACCTCTACAGAACCACGTGTTACCTATTTTAAACTATACCTTTAAACATAGACAGCATCTTGAGCTCTATCAGAAGAATCACAATTTTTATAACAAAATTCACTTTTATAAACCATCACTTTCTATATGAGTCGAGCTTCAAAAATTCTCTTTATTATTATGACACACTGTTATCGTAACGGTGATTCATACAACACGTCCTTTCTATTGGAACTTCTGTAAACAACTAATTAGCCACCTCAATATTTTCCTGCAAATTCTTTATACTACGGGGAGCAATTTATAATGGCACGCACGTTAATTACTCAAAGTTTGGTAAATAGTGTCTAAGTAATAATTAGTACTTCATTGTCTTTAATGACCATTAGAAAAAGACCTAGAACCAATATAATGTCGAGATTTTGAATTTAATTTTTTATTTATCTATTCTTATCTTAGTTTATATTATTAATGACATATTATTATAATTTTCACTTTAATTATAATAATAATGTAAGAAAAGATAAATAATAAATGGTAATTTCCTATTCTTCTACTAATATTTATTATGAATATAGTTTGTAATATTACGCGAGCGATAGACATATATTTGTACCCGATAATATGAACAAGAAAGACATGTGTATACTAATATCCAGTACCAAAATAGGCCGACACTGCATCTTGTTTAGATTATAACATCTAACTAAGCTATATTAAATAATTGTAAAGCCACAGCGGTAACGCAGTCGCACTTTGCTATTGATGTGTTTCAAGCCTATTTCAAACCCTCGAGTCCCCTTAGAGACCAGTAACATATCTCCGTTTAACAATTTGTAATGAAAGAAAATCTAGCGTTTAATAAGGTAGATTTGTTTAACTATCAAGTGATAGACTGTATTCGTGTAATGCATTTTTATCTTCGAAAGAGATAAGAGTCATAAGTTATTCGGAAACAAAAGATAACGATTTCATTTGAACTGATATAATGATTTGCATTAAGTCATTTTAAATAATGATAAACGGACGCCTAACCCGTTTAACTTTTTAATAATTATCTAATGATCTAAATAAAACACTTTAACGGTTTAAAACGCGATATATTAGTTAAACTTATTTGAATATGATATTTTAACTTCGGCCCGACGTTTCGGATGCTTTGCAGCAGCCGTGGACACGGGGGGAAATCATTTTCAAATAAATTTAACTAATATATCGCGTTTTAAACCGTTGAAGTGTTTTATTTAAATGTGTACTACTCGCGTAAACTACAGACAGTATTTCATGTGTGACTAATCATCTTCAGATCGTGCGTTGGATTCCTATCGGTACCGGTACGGTAGATATCGTAATTCCGTCCGGATCACAAACCACCGCCCGCAGATGACAAATCAATGGAGTTTATCGCGTTTCGGTTTAAGTGGATTTCCAAATGTCCAAATGAAATTTGGTACACCGATATTTTTGAGCCTGAGAAAGGAAATAGGCTACTTTTAAATGCCAAAAAGGGTTGATAGGGGTTGAAAAATGGGATGAAAGTTTGTATGGAAATTCGTGGTTTTTGAAGCTAGAATCATAAAACTTTCTTCTCTGGGTATTTTGGGAATAGGAACAGGAGTGGGAGTGAGCGTAGGAATGAGAGTGGGAGTTAGAGTAGGGGTGAGGTGAGAGTGTTGCGGCAAAGTAAAACTTACAACATAGATTGGCTGCCTTAAATGCGCCCTTACATAAATTAATAAACGGCCTAAATAATTAAAAATTCTACCCCAAGTCACTATTCCACGCGGACGAAGTCGCGGGCACAGCTTGTCCTTGATAAGTAGATAAATTCCCAAAAACTATTTTTTCTTGATCAATTTTGATACTTGAACTGCTCTAAGCCTAAATAGACTAAGAGCCGATGACTCACTTTATAATGTCCTTTATCTACTACCTTTGTTTTTGTATTTTGTGTAGGTTTATTTATACTACTAACTCTACCACTGGTCTACTTCAAAAGTCAAGCGGCAGGGGCATCACTGAAAGTTGACTTTGGGCCCATTGTCATGTCAAACAAAAGCTAAGTGGTCTTCTACATATTTACATTATAAGTGTTGTGTTGTGCTTAATTATATGTTGAATTAAATTTGATAATATGATCCTTTGAGCTGTTTTTATTGTTTTACCATGCAACAAGTGTTTTTGATATAAAAATATAGTTATAGCGTAATACGAGCGGAAGAACACTATCAGTACAATAAACCGTCCCGGTATTTTCCTGGTACTAGGAAACTAAATCCACAATTGGGTGACTAATCGTCGTGCTTTTCCTTAAAATTCTTGTTACATTACATATACACACACTATACGTAAATAACACGTAAGATTTATTTGTTAATAAGATGTGAATATATTGGCAACGTATCGACAAGACTTTTTCAAATAAAATGCTTCTAACGGTTTAAAACGCGAAATATTATCATATCATTGTTTCTGGGTTGTAATTAACAATATGTTATAATATATGTTACGTTTTGAACTGTTAAAATTATTTCTGAAATTCCTAAAAACTTACTTGACAATGACTCCTTGCTTTCAGATTCTGGATCGATATCTTTTTCTTCAATCTTCGCATCGTTCTGAAAATACATACATACTATTAAACAGTCATGCCAGATTTATCAATTGGTTAGGTCAGTCTTCTCTTCTCTATTTAATGAGAAAATAATACACTTTTAACGATTAAAAACGCGAAGTATACATGATAGCTAACTTGTTTACAATTTGGTTGCTGCAAAGCATGCGAAACGTCCGTATTCAAAATAAATTAAGTAATACACTTCTCTCATAGGCTTTCATTCGCACAAAAATATTTGAAATTATGTAACCTACATTTAAAAATCGATTATAACAGCTCGGAACCCCGTTTTCCCAGTAAACCCTTTGCCGTTCCATTTTTACGAACCGTCCTTGGTTCTTCTTCCGCAATCCCTAGATTTTGTAAATTAATGAACAATATTCGTCTTCACTTAGCCTTTCCATCTATCGTATAACCGGTGTCGTCGGCTGCTCAAACTTACTCTAGAAGAAACTTAATATAAACACAAAGAAAACGAATAAATGTATTTACCTATTTTTAGTTAAATAATTGTACCTTAGCTCTAAGTTTGTCTCACTCTGTTTAGACTGTAATTTATTAACACTGTACCTGATATTTTTTGTTGTACCACACACCATGTCTGTTTAATGCATGTAGTGCCTACCTTAAATAGGATATGCAGATAGCTATACTCTTTATATTGTTAATACTATATATTCATACTCTGTAATACCCGCTGGCGGGCCTTTTTTTAAAATAAACAAATAAACCCAGTGAATGCCGGTTCAAGTCCTGCCCGCGTCGTATTTTATTTTTCCAATTTATAATCGATGTTTAATATCATATACTAACAACGTGTGTTATCAAAGTTTTCAAATTATTATCTAACCTGTATAATATCCGTCTCTATTTGCTTAGCTATATCTGTCTCCCTCTTTAGCGCGAGTTCGACGTCACAGCCGGAGTCGAGAACCCACAGCAGGATCAGCGTGTGAAGGTTCAAGACGTCATCTTCTCTGTAATTGCAGTGATAAGATCAAGCTTTTAGATGATAAGATAATAGAATATGACATGCAAAGATACACACACTGAAGCCAAAAGGACATTTGTTAAGATGTGAGTCCTCCTCTATCATAACTTAATTAAATATTAAATTAATTTAATAATAATAAAAAATTAAATCCCTAATAACAAGTAGGGCTTATCTATTTAAAAAAAGTTCAAGCCAGGCTTATAATATAACGGCCGGTGGTTGATATAATATTATCTTTCTTCTTGTAATTCCGTTTCCCCTTTAAGGGCAGGACGCAAACATATTTGTGTGTCCGTTTATGCACTTGTCTGCACGAACGAATTTATCGTGTTCAATCCAAACCCGGGACCTCTTATCTCTCTCTTAGCCAACATTGAGTTAAGCTCTAGCTATGAAAACAGTTACAGACTACTCTACTTACGTATTTTTATTTTTCTTCTGAGAGGACAAATGCTGTTCGAGGTAGGTCATGTGGTAAACGTAGTTGTGGATTTCGAGAGCACTTAACCTGGAACAGAAAGTAAAAAAAATGTATCCTAATTTTGGGCTGAACAGCTCAGACTTGATGAGTTTTGAAGCTGTCTGGCCGTTCATCTAAGAAGAACCTAAGACTTTGCTCAGTCGAGGAGCGTTCAACGCGTACGCGTGAAGGCAAAACGTCACAAAAGTCTTTTCAATTATGATGACCAAAATCGACAGCCTAAAACACTTTTCCGCAAAAGCTAACATTACATTCATAGTAACTCCAACGTTCAATGTAGTGAGAAAAATATCAAAGACTAATAATATAATCTAAGAAATAAATAAAACAGTTGTGACGGTTTTAAACGCAAAACATTTTCGATAACTAATTAACATATTTCATTTTTAAAAGAATACATTTTTTACATTTCCTACCTCTTAGCCAGCAACGTATAGTACATGGCAAGAGCCGCATGCCCATCGGCGACGCAACACAAGTATCGCCGCGTGCAGTGCTTAACATCTAGCAGCCAAGCGGCGAACGAGTGGTGGAATATTGAGAGGTAACCGGTCGATCTTTCCATCACTAATATTCTGAGAAAAAAAAAAAATTGTTTTTCTTGTTTTGGAAAATGCATAAAACTTGTGATCTAAGATTAGACATGAAAGCTTATACCCAGGCGGGACTCAAACCCACAGCCGCATACCGTGTTATTGCTCTACTAAAAGAACTAAAATTAGATCTAGACTTAATTTTTTATTTATATAGATCTAGACTTCTAAAGTATTGGATTTATGCACTTCTGGCGACACACTTTTTAATATGTATACGAAGAATTTGTGCATTATAAAATGAGGAAACAAAGAATTCCAATTCCAATGCCAATGAGTTTAGATCCACGCCGCTCCAGTGAGGGTTAGTGGACTGGATTTATTTTACGACTAGGTCAACTAGTGATAATAACCAGAGCAACATTCATACACATATTCATAAATTGAATACAGAAATATTATTTCCCATTTCTCTAACATCTAAGGAAGGTGCGCTTTCGACCTATTTTGACTTCAGATATTTACCGTCTCAAAAGATGCAGCCTCCTATTGAAGTCTTCTCTGGTGACACTGTACTCTTTAGTGAGAAGACATTTGTACAGCATCTCCTCAGTCACACCGCATCGAGCTGCTAATAATACATCCAACAGCATGCGAACCTATAAAATAGAACGTCACAAGTATTTATAAGAAAAATTTCATTTTAACGGTTTCAAACGAGAAATATATTCTGCGTATTAAATTCTTACACGTGTTATAATATACTATATTCATGAAAATACAATAGAATTTTCTTCTTAAATTTAACTTTTTAAGTCCTAAATTTAGTTGGATAATTTGTGTTACAACCACGTTGCTATAACTTTTTAGGTTTTACTGACTAAAATGGTTAATATTTGTGCGTCAGTAGCTCTCAGTCTAAAACCGTACCTTAGTGAACCTTCTTCCATGAAACAACCTCTGCGCCAACCAGAGATACAGCCCGTTGAGAGTTCCGGGAATTTCCCGAATTTCTCGCAACGCTATAAACCCGTCTGCAACGCCATCTAGCACCTACATGGTAAACAATATTCAATTACAATCATATAAAATGAAAATCGTTTTTAAAATGAAAAAAATAAATTAAAACATTTTAATTTATATATTGCCATCATATGAAATACAATGTGAAAAATAGTAAAGTATTTAATTACAATCGTTTCAACCTACCAATGGTCCCACTTCTGATTTTCTCGCATAGCTGGCACAGCTTTAAGAGTTTACATCCACCACGCTACACCAGTGTGGGTTGGTGGGTTTTAACAACTACCGTAATTAAACTACCTTATTTGGTACCGGTAGTTGCCACGAACCGTCCGTGGCACGAACAATTACAATAATGTTAAAATAATTAGTATGACAGTACTAATGGCAGTACCCTGACAGTAAGCCGTCATATAGACTATAAGTGAATCGGCGATAGACGACAAGGGTATCACCAACAATGTATTTATAATGTTATTATATTAGTATATTACCTTTTCCAAATAAAGAAGACAGCCATCACTCTTAATCCTTAGATGATCTAATGCAGCCGCCGCCGCTGCAGCTGCTGTAGAGTCACTTGAAACTCTGCTTCTGTAAATCGAAATACCACCACCGTCACTTTTGAAGAAACCTTCAAATCAATTTGTCTTAGCAAAGGACACTCAAAGCTCCAAGACCTTTACTAAAAAGGAAAAAGGTGGGATACTTACCTAAGTCGTGGTTCGGAGTCCAGCCGCGCGAGGACGTATCTTTGCACGTCAGCAGATACATGAGCACGTTGTAGTTCGTCGAGAGTTATTTTGCGGAACCCTAAAAATTCTTACTATAAATATATTGTATAAACATTTTCAATGGTTTTAAATCGCGAAATGTATAAGAGGCATCGGTGACATCAACGTTGGGTCGAAGGTTAAGTAAATTGTTGATAATTGAACCAATATATAGTATTTGTTTGTATTCCTAGGATAAAGCACAGACAAGCATAGGGCCCTCGCCCACGATGGAAGGTGAAATATCTCAGCAATAGACCAGATGGTCTTAGATAAACAAGATGCGGCTTTCTGGCTTTTAGCATATTAAACCCACAGACCGAAAACTGAAACTTCACGGTTTCTTCTGTGGATGGCAGTTTTGGGACCTAGATGGTATTTCGATATTCCTACCACCCGTTTAACATCGAGATTTCCAGAAGTCCAAGATCTTTTAGAAATATTATGAATTGATCAATTTTGAAAAGAAAAAATTTGGACCCAGTAGGGGATCATCCTACGAGCTGAGGGTTATTAGCCATACATTGCTACGATTGCACCAACAATCCCGTCGAAATGTTTTATTTAAATTGATACTATTCTTGATTTCTTTTTGTTTCAGTTAATACTGAGAATACTGTAAAATATGAACCTGTGAACATCTTCGTCAGATGGCGCGAGTGTCGCCGAGCCGTAGCGACCAATAACAGCCAATGCGGAAGTAAGTGCTGGTGACGGGACAGCAATGCGCCCACGCTGCATTCAGTTTCCGGTTTGCCTGGAAATTACAAATATGTAATACTTTACGTTGTACATCAGTTAGTTTTATAAAACATATATTGATTTTATATACGGTTCAGGACAAAAAAAAATAAAATAGTTGCCGACTGCTGTTAGTAACCGACCCGACGCTTCGGTTACTAACAGCAGCCGTATAAATTTTATAGTTTCATTACTAAGACAGACACATAAATGTGTAAATATTTAAATAAAACACTTTTAACAAGGGGAACCACATAAAAATAATTCACTTAATAATATTTCAAAATTTAATTAAGTGGTTTATTTGAATGTGTTCTACTCCTATGTCTGTATACTACAAACAAGACTTAGTTAGCTATTGTAGTTAATCATTGTAATAAAGATTTATTTGAACTCACCATTTCCACCTTCATCTATAGCATCTACCAGCAAGAACAAGCACTGCTTCGGCGGATCGATCTCCAGCAGGGGAAATAGGATAGCTTTCTTGAAGCACTCATCCGGATTCTTCTCCAAATTCTGCGGCAGCAACGCCTGCTGGATCTCGCAGTCCGATAACAACTTATCGTAATACGCGTTTGCTATCAGAGTCCGCGGACTAATAGGCAACGTGGGTATAGGAGGGGGGCCGTCTTCGCTCTGAGACCGTTTCTTCTCCAACAGCCGTTCTATATCCGTCTGCGGATCATCCTTCACCGGATGCACGATGTTAGTGTATTCCGGCAGCTCTTCCGTTTTCTTCGGCGATTCTGGTTTAACGTCCGTTCGGTTCGGATACCGGAAGTTCGCTACGGGAATTCGGGATTTCGGCGGCGAGCTGTGTTCGGTTCGCTCCGGTTTCTTTTCTTCATGTTCTGTGGATAGGCTCTTTTGGAGTATTGTCGGTTTATTCTCGGTTAGTGGTTCGGAGCTTTGACGTAGGAGGCGGGAGTTGCGAAGCTCCTTCGACTGGCGTTGCGAGATGTTCCTCAAGAAGACGTTCTCGTGGTTCTCGTAGAGGCGAAACTCGTCATCGTGAAATGGGTTCGTTGGTTTCACGTTGGCTTTTGGTTGAATTTCTGGCACCTGCTGGAGAAGAAGGTAAACATAAAACCACATACTTATAATTGTTACTATTCCTTCTTTAACATATTAACTTCTCAAAATTGTTTAATTTTAGAGAACTATAAAGGAACTTGGAGATGAAGAGGATCCTACTCACGTCCTGCGTGTCCATCATACAATCCATATAGGCGTCCCTTTCGTGCAGTCTGTCTATCGTCTTGGTGCGTCGCCCGCTTCCCACGTCATCGTCGTCTGTACGATCTGTTAACAGAATTATATATATTATTTTAACATCTTATTCATTATATTAGATATCAGACATGATAGCTTATAATCATTTTAAATTGATTTTATTATAAAAATAAAAAAAAAACAATTGTTTCCACATATGTATTTTTTTAAACACAATACGTTAATTATTTCCTTGTTTTATTTTATATTTGTTGTCCCCAACACAGCGGAGCGGATGATCAGTCCACATTATCTGCCTCAACAGATAATAAACATGTCGGACTTGTTAATAAATATAAATCATTATTAACAAATCCAACATGTTTCTAAATCAGTTTTTTTTATATCAATCAATCTTAGGTGGAAAAAATTGAAATTCTGCGCAAATGGGCAGACATACAATAATGTACCTTCACAGTCACCCAATAGCGGTTTCGAGCTGTCCTCGGTATCTTCGCCCATCTCGCGAAACCGTTGTATAAGATTTTCTTCAGAGTTATGTCTGTAACGCATAAAGTATCTAATTACATGATTGACAAAAATAACCAAATAAATCCACTTTTTTCTTCTATCTATGCCTATTTGTTAAGTCTCCAGTACTTATTATTTATTTAAATTTATACAACATTACGTTAAGTAATAACTTAAGTAACTATGATAGCACAAATAAATATATTATATAACTATAAATCCATTTATCTATACATACAATCGGACATTATTTTAAAATACAGAGTTGCAAAGCCAACCGGTAGTATACACACTCTAGTATTCAATGATGTATGTATACCCTTTTTAATTGTTTATAAAACTAATAAGTTTGGTCCTTTGAGCCGGAAAAAGTTTCAAAAACATTAAAATAATTGAATTTCAGATTCATGTTAAAACTACGAATAATATTGGAAAAGCTATTTCTATGCAAGTACCGGTTATTTAAGGGCGCTGGATCATATTTAGGCGACTGATCCCGTTCAGAATGCCTCGCGTGTGACGAATGACTTAATATCTGCATTGCAAGTGAACGGATGAACTCCCCTGGTCGTTGGCTACCTTCTCCTGGGCCCTAGAAACATATTTAAATACTTTACAATACGGCGCAATTTATTGGTAATTTTCCAATGGTTTTTGTTCAAAAGAACATTGAACGTTACTGCCTAAGTTGTAAGGTTGAAATTACATTGTTCGATGAAGACGCGGTATCTCAATTGGTAAGAGCAATAGTATAAAACAATGTAGTCGTCGAAGCGAGTCCCATCCGTATCATAGAATTTTTCCCTATGAAAATAGATTTTCAATGCTTTAGAAATATTCTAAAGAGACCTCTCACCTGAAGAAAATGCCGGGCCAATAGTTTTCTATTTAAGGCCCGTTGTTGTCTTGCCTGAGGTCCAGGGCCTGGCTGACTTAGTTCTTGACATAACGCTGTTTTGCCGCTACCAGCGTCCCCTGAAAAAAAAAAGTTAATTCAATAACGCTATATGATTATCGATTGAAATAAGAAAATAAGTCGTTAAAACGTCATTTTTATTCGTAAAATGTGATTATTCCAAAATATGCATATGAGCTTTTAGCCAATATTCTATAAACAACATTAGTACAAGGAAGTCACCCATTACGACAATCGAGCGTCTTAATCCATAACAATATAGCTATCTCGCTCATATCTTTACTAATATTATAAAGCTTAAAAGTTTTATTTGTTTAAATGCGCTAAACTCCGTACAAACTATTAATTGGTTTAAAATTTTTTTTTGTGATGTATAGATCATTTATCGAGGAAGATTTTAGGCTATATAAGATGGCTGCGACGAATACTAACGAAGTAAATGTGGTGGAAAAGCGGAAAATTATTCATCTTTCAGGGCGTCTTGGCGACAGTATGTCTTATCTTTACAGCTACAGCAAGAACCACTTTTATGGTAATCACAATTTGTCCAAATTAGTGCATTATTACCAAATATTTGTTAAAACTCTTTGTGCAAATAAATACGAGTATGTTATTGATTAATAATATTTATTCCAGAGCAAAATTGTCTTTGATACCCAAAATCCCTCTTTCAAGCGGACGAAGTCGCGGGCACAGCAAGTGTTAGATATAGAAAACCGCAGCTATACACTTACCTAATATAAGAGCACCGCAGGTCTTGCTAATCGCCCTCTGTTCCAGACAATAAGCGATTTTCTGGAACACCCACTCCCGACAGAAGAAGCGACGCTTATCTGTCGATATAACTGTCTCGCTCACTCGTTGGGCTGAGGATGTCTTGCGAAAGGGACGACTGGAATCTTTGTCGTTCCCCCTCGGTTCTATTGGGCTTAAAGGAGTTCCTAGAATTATAAAATACATACATTTGTAAACAAATCTAGGGATTAAACAAAACATGGCGAGAGTAGTCAAACTGACCACCGTCAAAATCAAAGTTCCGGTCTCGTTCTCTATCTCTTTCCCTTCTTTCTTGATACCCTCGATGTCTGTCTGTTGGTGTCCGATCATGCCTCGATGTTAGTTCGTTTAGTGGGAGAGATCTGAAAGGAAACAAATTTCGTGAAAATAAAGTTCCTCTAATAAAGCTTACGAAATATAGACTTATGTATTGGCCCAGAACTTAAAAAATAGGTCACCTTAAGTTAACCCTATGCTCTGCTTGGCGCACTGCTGAGTGCCTGTGCTGCTGCTGTCGAATGCTCACTTGGTTCTGCCGCAAGTAGGCCTCCACCTGAAGTCAATGTTTAATAGTTATCACACCTGCATTCCGAATATCCAAAGCCAAAATAGATGTTATATGGCTAGGGTATTTCACCTCCCATCAAGTGTACCCCATGCCTGTCTGTCCGCTTCTATCATTATTATATATATTAGCATTAGTTAAACTTGTTTGAAAATTATTTTAACTACAGCCCGACGTTTTGAATATTTTACATCAGCCGTGGCCAAGGGTAGACACAGTAATTAAAATAATTTTCAAATAAATTTTACTAATATATTACGCGTTTTAAACCGTATTTTACTGTACTCCTCGCGTAAACTGCAGACAGGACACAAGAAATGGAGTTCACGAATCTACTTGTATATAATTGTTTTTTTTTTAGTAGTAATCTTAAAGGTTAGATTACTGTTTTTAGAAATTCTACACAACGTATACCCATGTAAATGACATAAGAAAGAAGGTCTTTCTCCTCCACTAACAATATTTTGCCTGGGCTGAAACCTCAAGCATTGTAGCATACCTTGCCCTCAGCAGGATCGGCCCTCTGCGTCCTCCTTCTCGTCTCCTCCTTCCTCCTCCCCTCGCGCTTCTCCATCTTTTCGAGCCGGCTCTCCTGCGGCGCATTCAGTATCTGCACGTTGCCCCCATGGTTGTAGTTCAGCGGATCGAAGTCCCTCTGCGGCTTCTTCTTCTTCATCTGCTTCGGGGCGACTTGGCTGTAAATTGGCTGGGACATCTTACACTATCTTTGGTAGGTAAATATTCTTTTTGGTTAATTGACGCTATTCACTAGTCGCTAGAGGAACGTGGGTTATCACAATGTGAGGTTGAGGTTCCAGTCATTGTAGGCTGCGCGTGGGCCGATCGAGGTCACGACATCTGGAAAGAAAGTATTCAAATATCAGAGCTGGGTAATGCCGACGAAAGCAGAGTAGGATAGGACCAAAAGAAACGTTTTTTTTAACGGGCGCTTTGGTTTAATGCGTGGCTAACAATAAACGGATCGTGTCTTCGAACTCCACCGGGTCATGAATTCATTATACTGAAACATGTTGGACTTCGTCTGGAAATCTGGATATTAAATGAGTAGAAGGAATATCGAAATTCCAAGAATGAACCACACGAACCACAGTTCACAAATGGAAAGCAGAGAAGCAAGAATAGCGTTCTGGTTTCAGTCTGTGGAATTTCAAATATCTAAAGTCATAATAGGCAGACAACGTATCTAGTTTAGATGTTATATGACTAGGGTGTTTCACCTTCCATAAAAAGATCCCCATGCTTGTCTGTCGCCCACTATCATAAAAAAGCTAAGATTTTTTGAGGCGAATTTAGAAATACCGAATGTTTGTAAATACACCTCAAATATTAGGAAGTAGTTCATTTATTATTATATTTGTTTCTTAACGACCCGATATTTCGGATGCCTTCCAGCTTTCGTAGTCACAGGGGAAATGGTAAGTATCATATTTATATGCAAACAGTTTAAATGCCTATGATGGTATTATATTAATTAAAAATCGATTTATGATAAAGCATCCACAGCGGCACGGAACGCTGTGGATGCCGTTTCAAGTTCAGATCGAATTTTAGCGGAATGCTTAAAGATGGGTGCTACACAAGCTTCGCGGGTCGATTATATTTAGTTAGCAATAAGAATGAAGATTTATTTTCTTTAGTTCTGAATAGATACGAGACTGCATCAGACAACGCTAGCAATAAAAGCCAAAAGACACAGCGCAATAACGTTACATCAAGTTAGAAGCGGGGAAGGTAAAATATTAAAAAAAGCACGCATCTAAGCACTCGAATGGGAGGCCGGGCTGCTTTGAGGGTCTCGTGAATAGCCTTTTGTGAGAGCTAAGTCGCGGAGACGGAGCGTGGAGCGTCTTCACTTACGTTTTACTTAAGAAAATGCTAGGAAGGAGGACGTTACGCCACCTCGGGTTATGTAATCTCGTTGCAAAGACTACATGCATATAGGACACACTTTAACAATGATACACAAACCAAAAACTCATAAACGGATTATGTATGGTGCTTAAGCTTAAACATTGTGTGTAGTCAACGCGCGTAGTACAAGATTTGAACAAAACACTTGTAAAACGCGAAATACATTATTTGATTTTTTTAACTACAACCCGACGTTCACCCATCGAAGTATGTTTTAAACCGTTATAAGTATTTAAAATTGATAAACTCCATATTTGTACAGAGCAAGACTCTTTACGCACTTCCATATAGTAGACTTATTAAGGTTAGATTTTTAAACGTCTATAAATTATATGACTCAGTATTAGAGATGGGCCGTGTACTCGGTACTCTGCGTACTCGGCGGGTTTTTTGATACTCGTATTCTGCTGAATAACTCGGTTATACTATGTTATTTGATAACGAGTATACTTTGTTTTCGAAAAGCAATATAGGTATATATAATTAAAACAATAGAGTTAAATCACAAGTATTTATTACTAATTTAGGAAGTCTTTGAAAATCTCAACTAAGAAAATCAAAATTTTGCTAATGAATGAATATTAATGGAACAACAGTACGATAAGTTGAGAACGAGCCAATATCTTCACCGGCGGCCGGCGCAAACCTGTTTGTACTTTTTTACGCACGCAATCCGGGTTACTCGGCCGAGTACTCGGTTGCAAAACAATTGAGCCGAGTAAAACTCGGTATTCGTTACCCGGCGCATCATTACTCAGTATATATACGTACGTTAAGCATTCAATTAATATGTAAAAATAAACTTAACAATAAAAAACTACCTGGAGTTTAAGCGAATAGTACCCATTTAATTAGTAAGCGCCATCTGTTCCATTGTATTTGGTAGTTAGCCTAATACCAACTGGGACGAAACAGATGGCGCTAACTGTTTTAACTTTGACATTAGAGGCGCTCTCCATCTTTAGTCTCCCCGCGACCACGGCTGCTGCAAAGCATCCGAAACATCGGTCCGTAATTAAAATAATTTGTAGATAAGTATAACTAAAATAATTTGCGTTCTAAACCGTTAAAGTGTTTTATGTAAACTTAATAATAAGTACATTGATAAAAAGACATACATCTAGGGTAAATTTTCCATGCCTCGTTTGAACCGTTATTGCTCTCGCAGGATTCGAACTCAAGACGTGACACATCTATCGTTGTTAATTATTTAATTAAGTTAAACGTTATTATTTCAGGCCTAAATTTGTTAATTATCTTACAAGTAATTACTTCTTAGATAACAAGGACGCTAAATAACTTAATCCGCGCCTATCTATCGATAAAATATCTAAACATCACTAATTGCCCCGCACGGATCGTTTAAGGCATAACCCTGTTCAACATGTGGATAATTTATTCATCTCAATACGGATTAGGAGACCTTTGAGTTAGTGCTGTCGCCGTTGAGATCGATTTTATTTTTTAGATTTAGGAATTAGTAGTATGATAAGAACAAACTACGACATAGCCACAGATATCGTCAATACATTAATTTGAATAGTAGCTATGTATGGTTAATCTTAATACTAATCGACGGGTGAGTTCGATTACAAAAAAATACAAAATGTATCTATTTTTTTTTTCTAAAACAGCGACTTCTTTTTAGTATAGTCTAAATGAGTAGTTGTAATATCGATGTTCACTCCGAGTCAAAAACTACCAATCTAAAATAGATTTTTAATTTACAGTAACGTCATATAAGTATACATGTATAGTGGCATCATGTGGAATAAGTTTTCAAAAGAAACTAACATTACATCCGAATGAACCGGACCTGCATCCGAATAAAGCACATCACTAGTTTGAATAATTCACGAGACGGCTTGTGACGGCTTCATCCTCTCATCTTATTAGTAGCATTTAGCCTTGATCGGTATATCATGCCTTAATACCATTAAAATTTCTTCTGTTTTGATAAGGCTAGATATAATATTGTTTCAAAGCAATAAGTGTTATAAATAAATAAAATTATCTAACCCTATTTTTGAATATGAAATTATGATTATATTAAATTAATAAAAAAAATTAGAATAGCTACATTTACACAATGAAGAAAGTAGATTTCCCAAGTTCCAACAGTAGTATGTCTACTGAACAGCAAAAACAAAAAAATTGGGATCAATTAAATATTTTGTCGAACGCCGCCTCTGTAGCCAAATGGTTAAACGTTGCCTAGCATTTCGTTAGGCGTGAGAGGTCCTGGGTTCGAATCTAAGTGAAACAACAAAATGATTTGGTCAGGCAGTGGCACAGAAGTGTGATCAACTACTTGCCTGTTACAGAACTGATTAGTGAAACGGACACAGAAATGTGTTCGCCCCCATGACCCACGAGGGGGGGGGGGGGGACTTTTTTTATGATAGAGGGGTCAGAAAAACATGGGTCTCACTAGCCTGTTGACCTGTTTTGGCTTTGGATATTCGAAATCGACAGATTTCCAGACAAAGTGCAATATGCTTCAGGAAAATTAGAAATAATGTTAGACTCGGTGGAGATCGAACCAACACCCGTTGATTATTAGCCGTACTGCTACCATTAGCAATTCAATTTGATATCAAAGCGTAACTAGCCACGATTTCTTCTCGTCATCATTTTCATCGTTTTAGACCTTGAATTATTATTTTCGCTGGGTGTTAGGTAACGTTATCACAACAGGAAGAGACCCTCGCTTCCTACACCTAAATCCACTCATCTTCCTAACTACATTCTGAACACCACTCTTACTAAGAGAAAATAAAGGCTATTTTACCGTGACAAAAGAGTACTTCCTTCTTAATCTAAAATGTCGGAAACTGTACGGATCAATTTTGCTAGCGAATTCTAAAATATAGTCTATGGGACGTGACGCGTTGATAAGAAAAACTTATATATAAAGCTGAAGAGTTTGTTTGTTTGTTCGAACGCGCTAATCTGAGGAACTACGGGTTTGCATCGAAAAAATATTTTTTTGTTGGTTAGAGTATTTATCGAGGAAGGCTTCTTACAACATCGCCCTATAACTAATACAAGCGAAGATACACCGAGATATGTAAAAAAATTGGGAAAAATATTCATGATTATGGGTTTCAGAGGCGTACGGTGCAAAAACGGTTCAAGATACCAAAAAAATATGTATTAAAGAATGATTCCTCTTTAAATAATCTAAAAAAAATCCAGGACGCTATATGATCTATCTTTTACGATAAAGTTGCAAAAACAACGGCAAGGGACGCGACCGACGTCGTGTGTAACAGCTTAAGTTTATAAAGATGCCCAAAATAATGATTCTCGCGGACGAAGTCGCTGACACAGCTAGTCTTTTTTTATATATCGAATCAACATGTATACACGAAACAAATGAAGACAGAAGCTAGCTCTAACATGAGAAGGAAAATTAAGTATACATATACTTTGTTAAGAGACAGTTAAAACAAAAAGATTTTTTAAGTGATACGCATTTGCATGTGATGGAGACATGTGGGCTCATGGGATTTTAACAGTAATAAACATAACCGCTCCATTAATTAAGAGATATTCGGGTCACGAACCACCGACCACAGATAAAAAAGCCGTGAAGCTTAATCGTGTTTCGCTTTCAAAATCCAAAATAGGTAGACGGCTAAGGTGTATCACCTACTATCAAGTGAATGAAGTCATGCCATGTCTGTCCTCCTCTTTCATTAAAAAAAATAAAAACGTGCTCCGAGGTCAATGACCCTATATATCCAATCATAATAATTATGATTACAGCACGTCTACTCA